AAATGACATAGAGTAATTTAGTTAGCATCCAAGAGTTATTATTCCGCTAAGGGTAAGGCAGGTAGCCCACAAATTCAGCCACAAGCACTTAAATTTAAATTCAAACATGCTCTAGGACCCACCAGCACTTGTGGCCGCTTAGTGGAAAGGCAAGTTTGCTAGGATGCTCACAACCCGATGTCGGAACCAGTCAAGGACAATGAGGAATAGAAGAAAAAAATGCAATTCACTCAAGAAGACTAGGCGAAACGCAATAACATCAGCAGACAGGCTAGATTTATAATAATTCAACACAGAAATTAGAAGTAAATTAGAGGGCGGTGCTGTAAAAAAAATTCGAATTAGGGCTTTCCTATATATAATGATAAATCTGAACTGATGAAAACTTTAAAAAAATGCGAACAAAGGATGTATAGGTTAGCGATGGATAGTATATTTCTATTCTTAAAGCTAAGGCTCAGTTAAAACGTCTCTAAGTTAAATCCCAATGAGTTTTGGGAGCATCTTGGGCCAATATTGTAGCCCCAGTTTTCTTGTGTTGATCCTCTTTTTTTGAATATATAAGCCATGTATTGGGGAAGTAAGCAGCAAGCTTTTCCTGATTCATTTCATCATAAGGAGGCAGCTCTTCCATAGCAGAAAGCTAGGCAACATAAAGTACATCATGTTTACCATTCTTTCAGCAGACTTCTTTATTTTGGTTAGGGCCGCTGTGTGTAGTGATGACAACTCGACCTAGCCGACAAAAAATGAGCAGACTTACTAACGGAACTTCCTTTTCTGATAGTTCGGCAAAGCTCGATGCATTCTTAGAAAACTGGACGACGAAAGATTCGTAGGACTTTTTGAGACTTTCAACAACATTAGGATCGGACACGTTCTTACGGTAGTGATCAAAGTTTATTTGTGGAAGAGTCTCGGGAAGATTTGTAATTCTTTAAAAATAAATCAAATAAAAAATACTTTGCAACGACAGCGTCAGTCTTTGATTTGATATCGTAAAAAGCCTCCTTTTGATGCTTAGGGCAGGCAGACGAAAGAAGTTCCCAGGGGATCCTAGTCGTAGCGACACGCTTAGCCGCCATACCGAGAAATAAATTATGAAGAAAAAAGACAGAACAATTTATATCCGATAAGGCGTATAATAGTTATTTATATATAAAATGAAGCAAGATGCTTATAAATAAATTTTGGTAGACAATAGCGGTATTTTATAAAAAGATATGGGCTACTGCGAACATTTCATTATTTATGGCTTTTCTTTAACTTTTGCTGTAGGCAAATTTAAAGCCCCCTAAATCGCTTGTCGTCGATGTTGATTAGATTCCCTCCCTTTTTCGCGTCTTTCCCATCTCAGCCCCATGTTATACTCGCCCTGTGTTTCTCTTCAGCCCGGTTCATGTGAGAGCCTACATCTTAGTTGGTTGGAGCGTTATTCCTTTGAAAGTTCTGAAAAGCTTCTATTTCTTTTATTCTCTCATTATTACGAATCTCCTTCTTCGTTTTTTACTGATGTATACGAAGTCAAAAACGGACTTAGCTTG